ATGTGTCACACAGAGGGGACGTGCCAGCACCCCGAGCTCCTCTCCAGCCTAGCCCTGCCTGTCCCCAAGAGCTGCCTGCCATCCTGGATCAGCCGTGTGCATCCCAGATTTGCAGTCCAAACCCCTCATGATATCCCTGTTCCTCTGTCTCCCCAGCACCCTCCAAGTGAGCGGATCACCACAGGACAGACAAAGCCCATGGCAGCCAGATTGGTTCTTCTCCAGCCTCCTCCTCAAACTGACCACCAGCTCGGACCTGAGACATCTCCCAAAACCCAGCCAGGCTCACAAAGAGCCACAACAACCTCCCAGGACAAGGCCACCTTCTCCTGGTCCCTTACCCATGTTCCAAGTCCCGACATACACCGAGATGATCTCAGGCTCATCCAGGTTGGAGTGCTGGATCCTCATCAGCTGCAGCAGCTGGCAGAAAGCCTCTCGCTTCTGCAGGATGGTCACGGTGTCTTAGAGACATGGGGGGCACAGCACCCCAGATCAGGTGGGCATCACTCCCAGGTGTAGGAGCCAGCTTGAGACCACTGATTTGCTGTTTTCCCCATTCCCAAGGGCCCCATATTCCCCCAGGACACTCTGTGGGCATGGCTGGTGCTGCTCACCCGGGCGTTGGGGAAGATGAAATCTCTGCTCAGGCTCTTCTGGTTCTCACGGGCACACACCAGCCTCACCTTGCTCTGCACGCTCTGGTACTTGATCAACTGCAGGACTGAGTGATGGGGGTCAGGGGGGCATGGTGGCCCTCACTGCCCGCCACAGGGGGTGTGACAGAGCATGTGGCCTATCCCCATGGCATCAGGCCTATGGCAGGGAATAGCCCCAAAGAATGCCAGTGACAGCCAGCAGGAATGCAGCAGTCCCTTACTCTTATCCTGTGGGATCACCTCCTCAGGGGAGCCACTGCCCCGCTTGGTGACAGTCACTGTCCCCGACTCCACGTCCACCACCAGGCCTGCACGCTGCGACTTGCCCACCTTCACCTGCACATGGGGATGTGGCTCTGGAGTTGTCCCCACACCCGCCCTGCCCACCAGTGACACAGGGGTCCCTCCATGTCCCCAGCCTCACCTCGAAGTTCTGCACGGCCAGGGGCCTAGCAGCTGGCAAGGGGGACATGGCCACGCTGGGCAGGGCCAGGTTGTGCCTTGTCACCATCTCCTGCAGTGACTTCAGCACCTGCCAAAGGGACAGGCAGTGTGCTGGGGGCACTGGGACAACTGGGAGTCCTGGGCTGTGCTGCCACCAGAGCTTGGTTTAACAGAGGGGTTAATTTAGGGGAGGGGGAGCTGTGTCTCCCCCTGCACCATGACTGGGGTCAGGCACCTTCTTCTCCAGCGAAGACAGGAGGTGGTTGACAGTGGAGATCTTGCTGAGGAGCAGCTCCAGGTCTGGGTCGCTGCTCAGGAAGCCCTGAAGGGCAGGATAGATAATTTTGGAGCAGCACGGTGGCACTGGAGTGGTGGATTCCTCGCTGTGGGTCTGGGATGTGGAGGTCCCTGGGGGCTGTGGGGGCACTCACCTGCTCCCTGGCCGGGCTGCGAGGGGACACAGGGGAGTCGAACACCCTGGCCAGGGTCTCCAGACCCGCCAGCGTGAAGTCGATCTCACTGCAGGGGAGGAGAGA